CACGGGGAGAGCAGCACGGAATTCCACTATAGATTAAGCGATACAACAAAGATTACAACTACACTCGAGTCACTCAAACACTCTAAGTGTTTTCCAAGCCCCAATTACACCAAATAACGCATGTAGTGTTTAGTCCCACAATTCCTTACGAAATAATCTTTTAATCTCACGAAGGAATTATACACAAATCTTACCACAAGATTTAATCACTTCTAACACTTGAATTCTTGGTGTAATTCCACGAACAAATCCATGAACCCACTGTCAAGCACTCAGTTCGGCACTTCAGTTCTTCTCGGACATGGACGACATGAAGACCAGCTCTGCACTCTTCAACAATGCCCACGGCACACAAGCACTCACGAAAAGGCGCTTCAAGACAAGAAGTCCAACTTCAACAGGAAACTTATATATAAACTCCATGTATGTCCGAATCAAGGTCAAATTCAAAGTCCATGCGGACTTTCCAATTTAAGACTTTTCAGTGGCCGAACTCCAACACATACTAGGATAGCTAATTTCGTATATTTCCTTTTTCCTTTTTTTTTCTTGGAATCTTTATCCAACTTGGACTCTGACACTAAATAGGAAATATATATATTCGAACGTCTGTAAAATACCCAATTCGAAATATTTAGATTTTCGCTTCGGGCTCAAACTCGAGACATATTTTCAATAATCTCCACCTTGGCTCGACGTTTGAGTCAAGTCACAATCGCTTTGATAGAATTCGAATTTCGTTACTACTCTCCCACAGCCCCAATGGACTCAACTGCCACAAACATCTTTCAAGTCCAAGCTTCGCTTGGACTTCACCATAGCCGTGGACCTCATCAGAATACCAACTCGACATGCACCTTTAACCGCTCCACAAGGATTTTCCGACACAATCTCCTCAATCGCAGATAAAGCAAAACCATTGTATCCATATCTGTTCGGAGATTGAATACGCACCTTGTCAATATCAGCAGTTACAGCAACCGTTGGCTCAATAGGCTCCACCTCGTTACAAGCACCATCTGTGTCGATTACTTCACTAGTACCCGCTACCTCAGGAGTTTTTGGTTGCAACTTCACCTCAAGCTGAACACCGTCCAGATCCGTATAAACAATGCTATTAACACTCCTAGCCAGAAGTACTGGAGACTCGTCAAATGTAACTTCTCTGCTGATAACAAGTGAATTTAATTCCGGGCACCACAACTTATAGCCCCGCTCACCTTGTGCATAACCTAGGAACATGCACTTTCTTGTCCTTCCTTCGAGCTTACCATCACTAACTCAAATATAACATAGACAACCAAATATTCTAAGAACAGAATAATCAGCAACGTTACCTGACCACACTTTTTCGGGAGTCCGACATCCAATCGCAGTCGATGGGGATCTATTCTTCAGGTAGCTCGCAGTACTAAGCGCATCCGGTAGAAACCTTCTAGCCATACCAGCACTAGAGAGCATTTTATGGGCCGTCTCTAGTAATGTTTTGCTCATCAACTCTACAACCTGCTGTGGTTCAATGGCACTAGTGCAGTGTTTCACTATGCCTTCCTTCATGCAGAATTCATTTAACAGCTCCGAGCAAAACTCCATGCTACTGTCAGTCCGCACATGCTTGATCTTCTTACCAGTCTCCTTTTTTATCAAAACTTTCAACTGCCTGATCCTATCAACAGCATCAAACTTGTGCCTAAGCACAAACACCCAAGTCTTCCTCGAGTAGTCATCAACAACTGTTAGCATAAATCTGGCACTCTTCCTCGAAGGAAACCACAACAACCTATGAACATTCAAGTGAATCAATTCTGCAATATCCGTGGTTTCTCTGACAATCGCACTGAACAGCACTTTCCACTGTTGATCTAAATCACAGCACTTGCATACATTCAATTCGTCAATCACATAACCACATAGCAAATTTCTTTTACTTAGAACCTTCAGGCTTCTCTCGCTAATATGCCCCAAACGCATATGCTATAATTCAGACTCTCGAACAGATGCATCCGACATCTCCGCAGCGAATTCCGTCACTGTTTCACCTTGAAGCTCATACAGGCCACTATGCTTGATTCCTTTCATTATCACCAAGGCACCTCGAACAACTTTCAAAAGTTCACATTATGAAGAATACTGACACCAAGCAAAATCCAGAGCACTCAAGGAAATCATATTTTTCTTCAACTCTGGAACATGCCTCACTCCAGTCAATGTCCACACGATACCATCATGCATTCTGATTCTAACATCACCAACACCTATAACATCGCATTCAGAATTGTTCCCCAACTGCACTTTACTACTATCCGTGCACTGATAAGTAGTAAACCAGTTCCTATTTGGTGTAGCGTGAAAAGAACAACCAGAATCCATAATCCATCCGCCAAACGACAAATCATCAGTGACAGACAAGATATAATCAGCATTATCCGAATCACCATCAGCTATAGCTGTAACATCATCCGCAGGATCAACTCTAATTCCCTTACCCTTGTCGTTTTTCAGCTTAAGGCAATCCCTTCTAATATGCCCCCTCTTGCCACAGCTCCAACAAACAATACCACTAGTCCTAGACTGACTTCGTCTATTCGAGTTCATACTCCTTTTACTAACACGTGTGCCAGTTCTTCCTTTATTTTCACCTACTAAAGTAGCAGATACATGTTCGCCAGATTCTCTTCTACGGATGTCCTCACTCAGAATTAAATCTCGAACACCATCAAACGTCAAACTTGTCGATCCAGAGGAATTACTAACAGCAGTAACAGTAGTATTCCAAGTATTAGGCAATGAGGATAATAGAATCAAAGCACGTACCTCATCTTCAAAGTCAATATCAATTGAACTTAATTGACTTACGATCACATTAAATTCATTAATATGATTAGCAACTGACGCACTTTCGCTCATCTTCAAATTAAACAGACGTCGCATCAAGTAGACTTTGTTGATCGCAGAGGGCTTCTCGTACATATCCGACATGGCTTTCATCAAACCCGCAGTGGTCTTCTCATTCACGATGCTAAAAGCGATGTTACGTGCCAACGTTAGCCGAATAACACCCAAAGCTCATCTATCTAGCAATTCCCAATCAGCTTGCTTCATCGTCTCTGGCTTCTCCCCAAATAAGGGCAAGTGTAGTTTCATCTGATATAGCTTATCCTCAATTTGCATCTTCCAAAAACCAAAATCTTTCCCATCAAATCTGTCGATTCTCACTTTTCCTTCTTCTGTCGCCATCGATTCGCTTCAACTTAAGCAAGCCTAGCTCTGATACCAATTGTTGCGGAAGCCAAGCGATCGAACAATAAATTTGACAGAACAAGAAAATAAATCGAACACCAGATTTACGTGGTTCGGTCGTAGTGACCTACGTCCACGAGGAGAGCAGCACGGAATTCCACTATAGATCAAGCGATACAACGGAGATTACAACCACACTCGAGTCACTCAAATACTCTAAGTGTTTCTCAAGCCCCAATTACACCCAATAACGCACGTAGTGTTTAGCCCCACAACTTCTCACGAAATAATCTTTCAATCTCACGAAGGAATTATACATAAATCTTATCACAAGATTTAATTGCTACTAACACTTGAATTCTTGGTGTAATTCCATGAACAAATCTACGAACCCACTGTCAAGCACTCAGTTCGGCACTTCAGTTCTTCTCTGGACATGGACGACACGAAGACCAGCTCTGCACTCTTCAACAATGCCCACGGCACACAAGCACTCACGAAAAGGCGCTTCAAGACAAGAAGTCCAACTTCAACAGGAAACTTTTATATAAACTCCATGTATGTCCGAATCAAGGTCAAATTCAAAGTCCATTTCCAATTTAAGACTTTTCAGTGGTCGAACTCCAACACATACTAGGATAGCTAATTTCATATATTTCCTTTTTCCTGTTTTTTTTTTCTTGGAATCTTTATCCAACTTGGACTCTGACACTAAATAGGAAATATATATTCGGATGTCTGTAAAATACCCAATTCGGAATATTTAGATTTTCGCTTCGGATTCAAATTCGAGACATATTTTCAACAGCAAGATTCTTCAATAATCTCGATAAGGATGTCAGGTTCCATAGTGGCACGAGCTACTTGTCGGAGTTCTTCGGGCAAGTGACCAGACACCACCAGAACAAATGGCACACGAGATGGATGGGGATCAAGTGTGCATGCATACTTTGGCAACCCTTGGTCCTCCATCTAGGCTACGGCTGCTTTCATTTTCTTAGTTTTTACCGTCATTCTAGCCTTTTTACCCATTTACGTGCATTATTGTCTCAACGACTAACCAACCTCATCAACTCAGTTTCAGAAACATATTTAGACCGTGTTCTACCCCAGGGAACTAGTCCATGACATAATTTAAAGTACGACGAAGAGCATTACATTTACTGCACGATTTAAAAATTCTAGAGAACTTACTAAATGCATGCGCCTCTGATTGTAATTAGCAGGCTATATTTCTTATACAACTTGATTGTCAACTTGAAAGCAGCAGCAATCACTAATCAGACCATTGATGAAGACTACGAGTCACCCGGGTTCCAATTGCACACGCCAAGCATGTGAATTCCATGCACCTTGTTAGAGGTGGGAAGATGGCACCCATGGTCCAGTTTGGCGCAGTACATATTTGAAGAAATTTTATGTTATTCAAACTTGAAGAATTTTCTTTATTCAGGGACTTTCCTAGCAATAGACATCCGGGTCTTGAATTTCTTAAGTCCAATCATCTTCTACTAGATGCACATCCTCAGTTCTGCTTCATAGACCATTGACAATTTATACTGAACAATCATGGAGAGGAAAAACTGTGAACTGACTCCAATCAAGCATAACGACCAAAGTTCAGTGAACATGATAACATTGCGAAAGTCTGAACAGCAAGTCATCCCAAAACTGATAATACACACGCCTCCATGGCTGGATAAATATTAGCGTACCACAAAAAACCCAGAAGCCGAAAACAAATCCGAGTGCCATGCTCATGTAAAACGACTTCATGCCAATCCAGCCATTGTCCTCACGACGTTCAGACCTTTGAGTTGGAACAGCATCAGCTTCTTCAGGATCGGTGGTGATTGAGCAATTGTCAAGTGGAAACCCGCATAGTCCGTTGTTACCTTCAAACGAACCTTCTGAAAATGTAAGAAACTGTTTGCTTGCTGGGATCATACCAACAAGTTGATTATAGGAGAGGTTCAGGAATGAAAGGAAGTTCAGATCTGAAAGGTGCACCGGTATTGTCCCATTGAGGTAGTTCTGTGACAAGTCTAGGGACTCGAGCTGCTGTACTTTTCCTAATGACGGGGGAATAGGCCCTGAAAGCACATTGTGTGACAGGTTGAGAAAATAGAGTGCTAGGAAATCTCCCAATGCTTCTGGTACTGGACCCTCGAATCTATTGCTCGAGAAGTCGATCAAGGTGAAAACAGTTAGGATCTTCATGAGTTCTATCTCCACACCTTTAAAAGTAACACTAACTGTGTCCTGATAATAGAGATTGCTCAATGAAAGAAACGGATATTGAAGATGGTCAAAGTGCGACTGAACCTTCATGGCCTCCCAAGACTTCAGGAAATCTTCAGGTAGCATACCACTGAAATCGTTGAAAGCTAGGTCAACAATTTGAAGCATCTTCCATGTGCCATTAGTGACTGGACAACCAATTTGCCCGTGGAATTTGTTGGAATGCAGCACGAGGACTCTCAGTGTAGATATGTTCTCCAATGGGCACGGGAATACATCCTTAATCCAATTGTTTCCAATGTCTAGCACCTCTAACATGGAGCATTTTGCCAACGAAATAGGGAGCTTTCCTGTCAAGAGATTACCATTAACATCCGAAGTCCTCAAGAGGCATGTACCTGGGAATGTATGCGGAATTCCTCCAGTCAGGTTGTTATTCCTTATGTTCAACACCTTTAGATTCTCCAACATTAAGCACTGAGGGATGGTTCCCATCAAATGGTTGTTGGAAACGTCAAGGACAGCGAGGTCCTGGGCTTGGCAGATTGATTCTGGGAAAGGGCCATGGAAATGATTGTTTGCGAGAGAGAAGAAAATTGTGGAACCTAGGTGTTTACCTATATCATTTTGAAGAACTGAACTGAAATTGTTACTCGAGAAATCCAGGTAGACACCATATGGTGGCAGAGGTAACGTTTTCCCCTGGACCTTGTTTCTGTGGAGGTCAATAACAGTCAGATTAGAAGAGAGATTAGGTAAAGGTTCTCCTAGTTTCTCGAAGAAATTGAAGGAAAGATTGAGATAAGAAATATATGCACTCTCCCACATCCATTTTGGTATCTCTCCTTGAATTTGATTGTCGGAGAGGTCTAGATAGGCTAATATGGCTAGATTTTCCAAGAATTCAGGTACTGAACTCAGCTGACAGGAAGCCAGCTTTAAAGTGGAGAGAGCAGGGAAACCGAACAAAGCTGAAGTGGAAGCAGTAGCATTAATAGACAAACGGTTGTGGGAAAGATCGAGATATGTGAGGTTCTTGAGCCGCTGAAACACATCAATGTGCAATGAGCCACTGAAATTATTAGAAGAAAGTGAGAGGTGGGTAAGCCCTCGAAGTTCAAAAACATACGCTGGTATTGGTCCCTCTAAATTGTTGCTGCTCAGATCATACACGTTTAGTTGACAGCAAGTGGCATTTAGAGACCCACTCAGCTCACCAGAAAACTGATTGTTGGAAATTTCTATTGCCTTAATTGAAGGAAGCGTAAAGAGAGACGGGGGAATGGTTCCGTCCAATGAGTTGTACCGCAAATCTAGTTTTACAAGGCTCATAAGTTCTTCCCATCGGGTGGACTTAATCTCTCCAGATAGAGCATTGTGGGATAGCATGATCTGTCTCAGATGCTTGGACATACTGAATGAAGGAACTGAACTAGTAAGATTATTTAAAGACATGTCCAAATAAGTCAGCTCTGACAGGTTCTCTATGGAGCTTGGGATTGATCCACTCAAACTGCAACTAAACAATTCTAAGCTCGACAATTTTCTAAGATTGCCGATTGAATCTGGAAGCCTCCCTGAAATATTCGTGTAACTCAGGATCAGAGTCTCAAGAGAACTATCCTCTGGAAAATGGGGCAAAGGAACTTGAAGAAGTTGGTTGTATGATAGGTCAAGCGTCTGAAGTGTCTGCAGCTGAAAGATTTTACGAGAAAACTCTCCATACAACCCACAATAACTCATATGCAGAGCAGTTAGATTGGGGAATCTGGCAAATAACTCGGGAACTGTGGTTGAGAGGTTGTTGCCATTGAGTTGAATGACTGACAAATGATGAAGATTCACGAGGGAAGAGTCAACAGGACCAGAGAGAAAGCAATTAGACATGCTGAGCACCTCAAGTTTTTGCACTGAAGAGGACAATGCATTGCACCACTCATTTCCCTCGGAAGACAGGTCTACACCATCGAGATGTAATTGTATTAGCTCCGTCAGGTTTCCTATCAAGGTCTTCAAATTGGGATTCTTGAGCTTTAGTGTATCAAGTCCAGGAAAATAAAGAAGAGAAAGATCAAGAATGCTTAACTTCCTCAAGCGCGCTAACTCTATCGGAATTTGCCCAGAGAATCCAGCATTGGACAAGTTCAGATAAACCAGGCCACTAAGATTTGCGAAGCCAGACGGAATTGCAGAGGATTTGACGTTGTTGAAAGCCAAGTTTAGCTTTTGAAGATGCTTTAGTCAAAATAGACTCGACGAACTGTTGATACTGCAAGAGATTGATTCGAAGCTCAAGTCTAGACCAATGACCTTACCATCCTCGTCGCACATCACACCATTCCAAGGGCGAGCGTTCTGATTCCACGTAACCAGCTTGGAAGACACGGATGCGTCAAAGACAAGGCTATTTTTCAACTCGACCAGCAACGATTCTTGATCGCCGAGACATGGACTAGAAGCCGATACCAAATAGATTCTGATGAAATTGGTGCATATGAGTGACAAGAGAAGCCACAACAACTGCGAGTTTCTCATTGAGTGCAAACTTCGATACTATTTTACAGAGTTTGTGAGTGAACACATACAAGGAGGAGTTTTGTTCTTGTTGGAAGCCAGATAAACATGAACCTCCTTGTATGGGATTTCAATGGAGCTGTGTTTGGTCTAATTCTATCACATCGTATCATTAATTTTTTAGTCCCTATGCGGACTATCTTAAGTTGAGTTGACTTATGAATGCAAATTCATCAAACCACTTGATTGAGCCAGTGGCGGCCTTCGGTGGTTCTTGACTGTTGATGAAGAAAAGCCAAAGAAAGAAAAAACAAGAGCATCTCTTTCCCTTGGACATCATTCCCTCCCTTTCTACGGCACAAGTTCCCTCCTAGAGAGCAGATATTCATATCGCTTCCAATTTACATCTACAAGGTTCATTGTAATCAGGACCTGATTTTCTGTTTATTGTTCACTATTGGGAAAATAAGGAAATTAAAGATGGAGCTCTCAGACTCGTTTACATGTTACATTTGGACCCATCTTCGCAAATTAAGGAAAATGAAGACATTGGTCCGAGGAGATCAACAGTAAAGCTAAGTGATCCGTGTTTCTTGGTCTTTACTTTTGCATTCTTTCCCATATGTCAGATTTTACTCCTTACAAACTAAGGTCAAGTCCTTATTGTGCCTATTGAATCTACGATTAATGGTTGAACAGTTTCTCTGATTATCCTGTATCATGATTCGGAGCTAAGCTCCTAAGGTGCATCATTTCTGCCTTTTAAATATATAAGCAATATGTTGGGATTTCAAGCAGCTGTGCACTGCTTCTGTTACTGTTCCAAGCTCGTCTTCACTAATGTGAACCTCGTGAGGTTGCAAGATTCTTCAATGATCTCCCTAAGGACGTTAGGTTCGATATTAGCTCGAGCTATTTGACCGAGTAATTTGGGCGAGTAGCCAAATATCACCGGAACAAATGGCGCCTGAAATGAACCGGGATCGAGCGCGAGTACTTTGGCAACCCTTGGTCTAGCTACTACTTTTATTCTCTTTGTTTTTAGCGTCATTAAGGCCTTCTTTGCTACTTACGGATATCATCATCCCAAGAATTAACCAACTTCAACAACTCAGTTTCGTAAACATAATTAGAGAAATCTTATCAAAGCAATGAAATTTGTGACATGCCCAATTTCATTTCTTGATATCGCTTCCGCTGCTACCCTTAATTTAATTTAGATTGCTTAAAACTTACATCTTTGTTGCAGTTAGATCATGTGCGACCACGTGGAATTAGTCCGTGACACAATTTAACGTACGACGGGGAGCATCACGTTACTGTTAGGATTTAACATTTCCAGAGAACTTACGAGATCTTAACACAGCCAATCGAATTAGCAGACTGTATATTTCATGGACAACATGATAGATGACGGGAAAGCAGCAGTCATCACTAATCAAACCATTGATGAAGTAGTCAAACCCAAAAGCTGCATGCACCACCTTTGGTCCGGTTTGGCGGTTAAACGCTTGAAGAATTTTTATATTATCCAAACTTGACAAATGTTCTTGATTGAAGGACTTTCCTGCAGTAGATGGACAGAACAGGTCTTAAAATTCTTAATTTAATCACCTTCTCCGTTAACCATTGACAATTACGGAGAGGAAACACATTAAACTACTCGAATCATGCGTAACAACCAAAGTACGTGCAATAGCTTTCAGTTGACTTGACTAGAGAATGCAAAATTGTCGTTTCAATGGTGCTCGATGATCCGCTGAGAAATTCCGTTTACGACAAAAACGGAATTTGTTCCGTCAACGGTGAATACATAATAACTTTGGTAGTATATTCAAAACATTTTTCATAAGTAAAACATGACCGATAATTTGTTAGTTCAGTCAACTATATATAAATTACTAATGGATTAACAATTTTACGATCGGCAACTCCAATGGTACCATGTATTTTTAGATTTTACAAGTGGGCGCATAATTATATGTAAGTTATCAGTAAAATAACAAGCAAATCAACATTTTTTAACAACGCTTAATCCACCTGAGAATATGACCAAAACAAAAATCCACATGAGAAAAAATTCATCACTAGAACGGCTCAAAGTTGGACGGAGACCCTTATGCATAAGTGTGAGGACCATTTTGAACAAAAGAGAAGTAAATGAATGCTTTTGAATTTCAAGTAAGAGTACAAGGTTCTGATGGCATTTTCCTTCTGTCCTGCCCTGTAGGACATTGTTTGCGATAGCTACTTTGAAATTTTTTCCTGTTTAGTATCCTTCTAGTTACAAAGAGGATAAATTTTTGGACGATTCTAGTGTTCCGTGAAACAAAGTACGGAACACTGTTCTGTGTTGTTGAATTCATGAAATGGTTGACAACTGTAAAACCCCATTGGTAGCAAATGTTGACGGGCGACTTGCTTGTCTGTCACATTACAACTATTTTAGGAGAAGTACCATCATTATTTGATTGTTTCAAATTATCGACTATTGCAAAAAAAAATTACCAATATTTAATTTCTTAAGTTACCCCTGTGTTAAAGTTAATAACTTTTACATGAGACTACCAACCTTAATTTCAGTTGCTCACCAACATTTACTTTATTTTGTTCAATTTACCAACCCTTTCAACAAGTCAGATACTAGTGTGATAAACTTATCACGTAAAAGTAAATAATTTTATATAAGAGTCAATAGCTTCATATTTTGGTAGATTATTGGAATAACTGCTAATTAATAAATAATCAAATAAAGGTTGATAACTGAATTTAGATAAAGTTAATAATTACATATAAAAGTTTGTAATCAAAGGTCCACCAATAAATAATGGTAATTGTTGGAATAGTTCGTAATTTTAAAAAGAAAAGATAATTTCTTATAAGAATTGATAAATTTAACCCATTGCTGAGCTCCCAAATCAATAATCATAAGTTATCAAAACAATATGAAATAATGAAAAAAAAGAAGTTGGTGGGTAGGCTCCAATAAAAGCCGGTAGCTCAATCAACCTTGTGACGACAAGTTTTTCACAATTTCAAATCGTCGCTGGTGACGGCTACCGCTACCAAGTCCTCCACCCCTTCTCGTGTCTCTTGCGATCCCACCCGTCTTTTACATTTTACTTTCCTTATTTTATAGAACATAATTAATTTCCTTTGATTTTAACATTATTGACTTTTACTTTTGTTTATAACAAGAAAAATATCATCTTAGCATACCACATCTAACATAGGGGTGTGCAAAACGGACCGCCCAAACCGGGAACCGCCCGGACCAGACCGGCAGGTTTTGTTCAATTCCCGGGAGTGTCGGTTCGGTTCCCGGTTCCTAAAAGTGGAAGTAGTGTCCGGGCGGTCCGGTTCCCGATTCCAAAGGGAATCAGACCGACTACACATTCCTTTTTTTATTTCTTCAAAAAAATTAGTAAAATGTGAATTAAACCCTAAGTGAAGCATGTTTTTTATTCGTCTTTTCAATTTGAGGATCATTGCATACATATCAATTAATTCAACATGAAAAGATAGCATCAAGTAGTGGGAAAAATAAGAGTGACCGGTTCCATTGAACCGGAACCGGACCACCAGTCGGGTACGGTTCCCGATTTTAGGACCAACCAGTCCGGTCCCCAATTCCTAATTTTGGGAACCGATCCTCCCAGTCCGATTCCCAGTTCTACTTTAGAACCAGACCGGACCAGTAACCAATCACCCCTAATCTAACATACTAAGAGTTTTTTAATAAGGACTTGATTGAGAATTGGGTAGAGTTAGAGGAGTTGATTCCAAAAAGAAAAAAGAAAAAAAATTGAAGGATCAAATTGCACAAGCAACAAAAGTGTAAATACTCTAGATGTGGATCAATACACAGAACGTCCTTTTAAAAGTGATGAAAAATTATGAAGAGAAAAACAAAGGAAAATACTGTTTTTCAAGTTTAATAACTAAGCCTCAGTAGAAATCTTCATGGACGTGAGTGTCTGAACAGTACTTTATCCCAGAATCGATAGTAAGCAAACCTCCATGATTTGATAAACAATAACGGACAACAAAATACCCAGAAGCCAACCACGAATCCAAGCGGTATGCCCATGTAAAACCACTTCTTCTCGCTATCATCATTCTCACCATCGTCATCTATGTCGCTTTGAGTTGGAACACATCCCGCATTTTCCGTCCCGTTTGTGGCAATTGAGCAAGTTTTCTCGTGCATAATCTTGCACGATCCAAGGTTTCCTCCGATAGAACTTGAGCAATATGTTCCCAGCTGTGGTCCACACAATCCGGCATTGCCTTCGAACGAACTTGCGGAAAAGGTGAGAAATTGTTTGATCGCTGGGATGCATCCCACAAGTTTATTGTATGAGAGGTTCAGGAAGGAAAGAAAATTAAGGTCTGTAAGCTGTGTGGGAATCGTGCCATTGAGGTGGTTCCATGAAAGATCCAAGGACTCAAGCTGTTGCAAGTGTCCTAGGAAAGAAGGAATCGGCCCTGAGAATGCATTTTTTGATATGTTGAGGACATAAAGTGCTTTTAGATCCCCCAGAGTCTCAGGTATTGGACCTTCTAAATTGTTGCATGAGACGTCGATTGAAGTGAAAACAGTCAAGATCTTCACCAGCTCCATTTGCAGACCTTTGATGGTGACGCTTATTGTGTCCTGATAATAGAGTCCAGAATTGAGAAGGATTGGATAGTGGATATAATTGAAGTCTACATTAGCCTTCATAGCCTCCCAACTTGTGAGCCACTCAGCACGCAGAGTGCCACTGAAATTGTTGGAAGAGATGTCTACAATTTGAAGCATCTTCCAAGTGCCATTAGTCTCTGGACATCCAACCCCTCCATAGAACTTGTTTGATCGTAAAACAAGGACACGTAGACTTGAGATGCTCTTCAATTGACATGGAAACACGTCATCAATCTGGTTGTTTCCTACGTTTTAAACCTCCAGATTTGTGCAATTTGCCAATGACTTTGGGAACTTCCCTTGTAATTGATTACTGCTGAGATCCAAAGTCTTCAAACCACATGTTGCTGGGAAATTGAAAATGCTACCATTCAAGGAATTGTTTCGCAGATTTAATACCTTGAGAGACTCCATTACTAAGCAATCTGGTATACTTCCCGTCAAATTATTATGAGATAGGTCGAGCACCTCGAGATATCCAGCTTCGCAAATTGATTCTGGGATAAACCCCTGGAAATTGTTATTGGACAGGGAGAAGACTATTGCTGTAGAAAGACTCGTTCCAATAGCAAGTGGAATGACTAAAGTGAAGTTGTTACTCGAGAAGTCCATGTGTGCGGCAAATGGCGGCAGTGGCAACGTTTGTCCACGGAGCCTGTTCTTATGGAGGTCAAGAACAAACAGAGTAGAAGTAAGATTACGTGGCAGTGTTTCAATATCGTCTAGTAAATTAGACGAAAGATTGAGATACAGAAGATCTTGAAGCTTCCATATCCATTTTGGTATCTTGCCCTCAATTTGATTGTCAGAGAGGTCTAGAAATACCAATCTGTGTTGCCCAGCCAAGAACTCAGGTAAAGTCCTCAACTGGCAAGAAACCAACTTTAAAGTTCCTAGGTCAGGGAATGAAGACGCCTGGGAAGCAGTGGCATTAATGGAAAAACGATTGTAGGAAAGATCCAAATACGAAAGATTTCTCAGTTGCTGAATCAAATTAAAGTCGAATGAGCCACTGAAATTATTGGAAGAAAGTGAGAGGTACTTGAGCCCTCGGAGTTCCCATATAGACTTTGGTAGTTCTCCTCCTATATTGTTGTGCTCAAATCAAGTATACCCAGTTCATGCGACGTAGCATTAAGAGATCCCTTCACTTGACCAGAAAATTGGTTGTTGGAAAGTTGAATCTTCTGAATCGATAGAAGTGTAAACAGAGATGAAGGAAGATTTCCTTTCAGTAAATTGAATCGCAGGTCGAGAACAAGAAGAGACAAGAGGGATTCCCATTGGGTTGAATCAATCGGACCAGTTAGACTATTGTGGGACAAAGTGATTAGTGTCAAATTCTTGGACTTGCTGAGTGATGGAATTGAGCCAGTAAAATTGTTGAATGACAAGTCCAAATAAGACAGTTGTGAGAGATTGGTGAAAGAGCTTGGGATATTTCCATCAAAGCTGCAATTCACCAATTCTATTCTTGACAGATTTCTGAGAGTACCAATTGAATATGGGAGCCCACCAGAAATATTCGTGAAACTAAGAACCAGTGTCTGAAGAGAACCATTCTCCGGAAATTCTGGCAAAGAACCCTGAAGAAGTTGGTTGAATGATAGGTCAAGGGTCTGAAGTGTTTGTACCCGGAAGATTTTTTGAGGAAATTGTCCCTGCAGGCCACAATTACTAAGATGCAGTGTAGTTAAATTGTGGAAGCGGGCAAAGAACTCCGGGACGGTGGTAGACAGATTATTGTTGCCCAGTTTAATCACTGACAGAAAAGGAAGATTCACGAGGGAAGAGCAAGACTCGATGGGACCTGATAAATTACAATTCATCATGCTCAACACTTGAAGTTTCGGCAGCGAAGAAGACAAGGCATTGCACCATTCATTGCCTGTAGCAGACACGTTCGCTCCGTCAAGGTACAACTCTCTCAGCTCGCTCAGATTCCCAACAAGCATCTTTAGATTCGGATTCTCGAGTTTCAGAGAAGTGAGCCCAGGAAAATAAAGCAGGGATACATCAAGAGTAACCAACCTGGTCAAATGTGACATTCCAATTGGAACTTGTCCCGCAAACCCGGCATTTGAAAGATTCAGGTGGACCAAATTGGTGAGATTACCCAACCCAGATGGAATCTCCAAAGACTGGAAGTTGTTGAAAGCCAAATTCAGCATCCGAAGATAATTGAATCTGAAAAGACTCGACGAATTGCTTAGTCCACTAGTGATCCCCTCCTTGCTCAGATCAAGACCCGTGACTTGGCCACCTTCGCAGGTCACGCCATCCCAAGAATCATTGCTCTGATTCCATTTGATCAATTTCGTGGACAAAGAAGCATTGAAGTCGAGGCTATTCTTGAATTCCAACAGCAGCGATTTCTGATCGCTGAGACACTGGCCCGAGACCAAAACCGTGCCTATGCTGAAAGGGTTGGTATGCGCGAGTATTAAGACCAGCCATAGGAGGAGCAAAATCCTCATTATTTTTCAAGCAGACTAGGAAATACTCGTGTAGTCGAGACAATCGGATGTTCTGAGTTCATTAAATTGAAACCTATAAATATTCTTGAAATGGAGAGAGAAAATACTCAAGGATATATTTTAGGACCATCGCTTTTTCCACTCCTAATTTGGCTAAAACACTCCCAAACAAAGTGTTTGACCATTTTACCTATTGTGGATCTCACCTTTCAGCATCATTTTCTCTTAGTGTCTTTTTTACGTTTTCTTCTTTTGTGGATTCCACTTTCCTTATCTAAAAAGATGAATTGCTAGTATATTTACGCAGTTTCATTTCCGTGTTTTTTTTAATTCCAATTATTTTTATACAAAAAGTGCGGAAGTGGGAGCCGCAAGAGAGAAAGATAATTGCCGAGAGAAAAAGAAAAGGACGAAGACGAAGGAAAATGAGACCCGCAAAAGAAGAAAACCAAAAAAGAGATACCAAGAGAACAATTAAGATGCTGAAAGGTGGGACCTACAATAGGTGAAATGGTTATAACACTTTATTAGGGAGTGTTTTAACCAAACTAGAAGCGGAAAAAGTGCGACCCATATTTTAGCTCAATATTTCAACTTTATAATGAGTCACAATCAAGGTGTATCCATACTATAATAGGGAATTCTATAATATCCATAAATATATTTAAACACTCCTCAAATTGGAGCATCCAACTTGCATATGAGTGGTGTAACTTTCTTCCAAAGTCTCTGTTTAACAAAGCACCGTGTAAGCCAGACCTTACACTACACAAGGGATATGGATAAGGCCATTGACAATTGGACTGGTGCGAGTTTGGAGTATTGTTAACACACAAAAAAAAAAGAGTTTGATAAAGCATTAGTGTCACACTAGACAAAGTTTAGGGTTTTTGGTGTATATAGGGCGATGATAATTGGGTACTTTTGGGTCACTCACACGATAGTGGGGAGATTCATTATACAAAAACAAGTTTATGGTTTTGAGATCATAGTTGGTTATAATTATTATGTGAATCAGTTTTCTCTTTATACATCACATTAAGGATGTAGAGATAGATTAAAAGTAAATAGTATAGATACCCCAACTTTTGACCTTACCACCAAAATGCATCTATGATGTCCTATTTTGTCCATTAAATAAGTAGATTCAAGAACAGAAATTAAATGATTTACTTATATTTGAATGCAACTTCGATACTATATTACAGAGTTTTTGAGCAAATACATAAGGGAGGATTTGTGTTCTTATTAGAAGGCAGATGAACATGAACTTCCTTGTGCAAGAATTTCAACGGAGCTGTGTCTGGTCTAAATCTTATCACAGGGTATCATAAATTTTTTGGTCCCCATGCGCGACAATCCAAAGTTGACTAGACTTGCGAATGCAAGTTCATCAATTCACTTGGTTGAACCAGTGTTGGCCTTCGGTGGCTCTCGACTGTTGATGAAGAAAAGCCAAGACAGAAAAAACAAAGAGCATCTCGTCCCCTTGTGTACCATTCCCTACTTTCTACGGTACATGTCACACCCCGAAACCTACCAAGATGGGGAATGACACGGCCGTCCCTTCGCCCAAAGGACGCAGCCTCAAACCACCCAAGAGTCCCAATGACATCGCTCTCGCTCTATTGGCTGCTAAACAAAGAACCTGAAAGGTTTAGGGAAAGAGAGGGGTGAGCAACGACAGCTCAGCAAGTAATGCGTATCTCTTCTAAGCAGATCGAACAATCACTATGCAATAGTATCAAAAACATCACAGCCCATAACTCAAACTCAATGTACAATATAGCCAAAAATATCTCAAAGGTATAATAACTTTTCAATAAAAGTCATCCGTATCAGATTATTCAATAAAAACTCACTTAACACAATAGCCAAATCATCAATGGTCTATCCATTGACTAATCTCATCACATAACACGAACCATCAACCAATCTCATGCTCGTCATCAAACTATGGTCAAGTTTAACGCCGTGACAAAGGCGACCAAGTTTACCCCTCTTGGCAAGGTCTACCACCTATTATAAGCCGGCGGTTCGGCCTAGAAGGATATCCTGACAGTATGCATACTCCCCCCTCAACGGGTTCTCAACATAGGAATGCGAGCAGCAGCAACTTATAACTCAATCCAGAAATCCATAATCAACACCAATAAATCCATTTCACAAAACATTTCGCAACAAGAACAGCCCTCGGCTAATCCTCTTCACAAAACCTTTAATATAAGCATTCACAAAATCTTCATTTCAATAACGTCATAAGACTTTTCAACTCATTTCACAATCGACAAAAGATAGTAAATGATCGATCCAATTTATGCAGAAAACATGCTCCACTATATTAAAAATTATATCTCATTATCAAAATATGAATTTGTAAATTCATAGAAGATGTAATGTCCCTCACAATTCACAAAGCCAATCCGGAATAAATATCACATTTTGGTTTCACAAACCAAAACATTTAATCTTCAAAATATATTTCACAAGGCATTTCACAAACTCTTTCAGAACTCTTTATAAACCAGTTCATAAAACAGCTAATACATATACACAACTTTCTCAACACGTTTCATAATTCCTTTCTCAAATCATTCTCAAATGCAAAAATGGCAGTAATTGCTCGATCCGGATTTTCATGCACTAAACATGCTTATTAATTCATACGATACTCAAATCTTTAACACTTTCAAGACATGAGTTTATATATTCATAAAAGAGATAGCACCACTCACCTGGAATGCCCCAAAACCAATAACGTGGCTAAACGCCCCGATAATCTCGTAATCCTATCAATTAAACGAGAATCGACATCAAAATTAAGTAAAATACTAAGATAATTACTAAACGGCTAAACGACGCTTAAACGCTGACAAGACAACTCAAAAACGCCCACAAATTGCTCATCCAAAGCTATTATCCAAATCGTCCGCAACGCGGAACTTGAGCGCAAAACTTGATCGCGTCATAACTTTCTCCATCGAACTCCGATCGTAGCAAACTTATAGTCAAAAGAAAGCCTGTTCCGAGTATTACAAAAGCCCCAACTTGGCCATCCCAAAATCGAGCCGAAAACCGACGAAAATTGGCCTAAAGCCCACTGATCGCGCACTGTTCACCTTGTGCGGCCAACTTAAAAAATTCATATTGGGCAAACCGTAGGTCCAAATCAAGATCCGTAAGATCCCACAGCTCCACAACACCACAAACTATCAATTCTATAAAAATACGCAGCTTTACGACTCAAAAATCGGACTTTGCCGCTCGAATTTCCCAAAATTCCGAATTTCAAGCCCTAAATCGGAAAACTTCTCCGATCGGATGAACAAGGGCGTGAATGCTTACCGGGCGTTGCGATACGAAGTCGAATCGGCTAGGCGAGGTTCGCGCGGCACCAAACCCTCCCTTTCTTCTTCTTCTTCTTCTCTTCCTCTCTTTCTTTCTTTTCCGTTTCTGTTTTCTCCTCCCCGAAAGCTGTCGGTCCTCTTTTATAATTGAAGTCCACTGTAGCAAATGTTGACTTGTTGACTTTTTTTTTTTTTTTAATACTCAAATATTACAGTACAAGTCCCCTTCTAGAGAAACAGATACACATTTCGCTCCCATTTATTGAATAACAGTTTCTCTGATTTCCTGTCTCATGATTCGGAGTTAAACTCCTGAGCCGCCTTTGAAATATATAAGCAATTTGTTGGGATTTCGAGCAACAGCACACTGCTACTATTACTGTTCCAAGCTCGTGTCCACTAACGCGAACCTCATGGGGTTGCGAGATTCTTCAATGATCTCCCTAAGGATATCAGGTTCGATATTGGCTCGAGCTACTTGAACGAGTAATTCGGGCAAGTGACTAGATACCACCGGAACAAATGGCACGTGAAATGGACGGGGATCGAGCGCGAGTACTTTGGCAACCCTTGGTCCGGCTACTGCTGCTTTCATTCTCTTTGTTTTTACCATCATTAAGGCCTTCTTTGCCGCTTACGCATATTATCATCCCAAGAACTAACCAACCTTCAGAAACATAATTAGAGGAATCTTATCAAACTAATGAAATTTGTGGCATGCCCTGTTTCATTTCTGGATATCACTTCGGCCGCTACTCGTAATTGGTTTTGAATTGTTAAAACTTACATCTTCATTGCAATTAGATCATGTGCTACCACATGGAACTAGTCCATGACAGACGAAAAGCATCATATTAAAGCCAGGATTTGACATTTTCAGATAACTTAAGAATATTATTGCAGCCAATCGAAATTAGCAGACCTAATTTTTCATACAAAATGACTGTTGACTTGAAATCGACAGTACACACTAGTCAGACCAATGATGAAGTGAACTAGGTCCAACTTCAAGCCCTTGAACTGAGCAGGAATTCGAAAACCTTTCGGGATTGAAATTTTCATACCCAAAATTTCCATGCACCTTCTTAGAAAAGCTGGGAAGACCTTTGGTCCAGTATGGTCCAGTTTGGTGGCGGGTTCACGGTTGAAGAATCTTCATTTTATTCAAACTTGAAGAACTTTCCTACAATAGACAATTATGGAGAGGAAAAACATTGAACTCGGCAACTTACTGCAATCAGGCATAACGACCAAAGTACATGCAATAGTTTTCAGTTGACTTGACTAGAGAATGCAAAATTGTCATATATAAAAATTTCATTTACAAATAAAACGGAATTTCTTCTATGGACGGTAATTACGTAATGTCGATAATAAATTCGAAATACCAATAATAAGTTAATAGTGATCAATAGCTTGTTAATCCGATCAGCCGTTTGTAATTAGCGATAAAATAACATTTTTACTATTGACAAACTCAATCGGTATATTTCCCCGTATTTTTAGATTTCACAAATGGACACGTAAGTAAATGTTGCTAAAGAAATAAAAACTTTATCAGCCACAAATCTGATAGTAGACTTAGGGGTGTGCAAAAGAACCGGGACCCGCCCGGACCGCCCGGAACCGCCCGGAACCGGACCGGAACTGGTG